GGGAAAACTCATACAACTGTATCAAGCTGTCATTTCATCTTACACCGTTATTATTAGCAATATGTTAAAACTCCAAATCTTATCACACCTGTGAAGCTATTTTTTGCTGATTCTACAACGAATACTGCTGTGTGTAATGTGTGACTTCGAAAGGCATATTAAGATATTGAATCCTAATGGGGTGATATGAAAGACTGAGTACACGTCCCAAATGGCACCCTATTCCCTATATAGTGCACTACTTTTTACCAGAGCCCAATGGGTCCCTCTATAGGGAATAGGGTGTCATTTGGGACCTGGCCTAAGTTCTTTGTTGTCTCTCTCTATCTCCCATCGGGGAGGGGACAAAGAAGGTTATTAAAAAGGAGTTCCATCAGATAGTTCAGTATTAAAAGATAATTTCCCTTCAACCATTTCTCATTATAATGTTATCTCCTATGCCTGTGATAATGTGGATCTGAGGTAGACTTTGTTTGTGTTGTCATGGTGACACATCAATCATTCCACTGCTCAACACACTTTAATAAACACTTTATGAAAGCAGCAGCTCAAATAAAACAACATTATCTGATGTGACACTAGGAACTGTCTCTCTGGGGTGAGGAGAGTAAAGTCCTATTCTGCTCTAAATGTGGCCTCACGTTCCTAAATGTTATTGTTGCAACAAGTTCTTGTCGTTAAATCACTCTCCTCTTAGAGAGATACATGAAGCTAACCCCAATGTAACCGACGGGGAGTCCTGTCCCTGTTGCCTGCTTTATTGCTGCGTCCTAAACGGAAAGCTATTACCGACATGCTCTGGTCAAATGTAGTGTACTATGTAGGGAACAGCCAGACAAAGACAAACATACAGACAGCAGAGTGGAGTCTCTGTTAAAACAGGACACAAAGGAAGTGAACAGTACCATCACAGGATTAGAGGGAGAGAGAGCAGCGCCATTTACTACAGCTGTAACAACCACTGTACCGTACCACCTGTCTAATCCAGTGGAAACCCCAAACTAATGGATAAACACCAGATACATAAGGGAGAATGAACTGAACAGACCCTAGCTGGGGATAAGTATTCCCTCTGTGTGAATGTGTGTGTGTGTGTATGTGTGTGTGTGTGTGTGTGTGTGTGTGTGTGTGTGTATAGCAGCAAACAAACTCTGTGGTTAGAGTTGACCTCTTTCTGGCAGCTTGATTTCCCAATTTTTACAGGCCTTAGAGAGCAGAGGATCCCAATTTGACGGGTCACCCAACACATCCACACACTCCACTGGATGCTGTGACAGACTGACTCCTTGTCCTCTCTCTTAGTTGACAGGGCTGACCACTGGCGTATAATAGGCCTCACACACACACACACACACACACCACAAACACACACACACACACACACACACACACACAACACACACAACACACACACACACACACACACACACACACACACACACAAACACACACACACACACACCACACACACACACACACACACACAACACACACACCACACACACACACACACACACACCACACACACACACACACACACCCAGACACAAACACACAACACACACACACCACACACACACACACACACACACAAAACACACACACACACCACACACCACACACACACCACACACACAAACACACACAGTACACACCACACACACAAACACACACACACACACACACACACCACACACACCCACACACAGTACACACACACCACACACACACACACACACACACACACACCACACACACAAACACACACACACACACACCACACACACACACACACACACACACACACACCACACACACACACACACACACACACACACACACACACACACACACACACACACACACACACACACACACACCACACACACGCACACAAACCACACACAAACACACGTAGGCACACACAAACGCACAAACACACGCACAAACGCATGCACACACACGCACGCACAAATGAACGCTCGCACCCACACACAGTCGTCTGGGCTTTCATCTCTGTCATAATAGAGCTAAGTAATCTCTGTCATAATAGAGCTAAATAATCGCTGAGGAGGATAATGGAACAAGTCACTTTGGTAAAAGACAACCATGCAGCAATGTAGCGCTAAAGACAAGCGGGCGGTCCCAAATATTCCCCATAGGCCTCTGGTCAAGAGTACTGCACTATATAGGGAATATATAGTTTCCTATATTCCCATCTCATTCAGTCTGGTATGGGTCTCTATGAAAACGACCTGCTTGCCCTGTCCAAATGGCTACGATCAGTTACACCTTCCAATGCATAGGCTACACACGCACACTTAAATGGAATTGAAGTGCACGTACGCACACACACGGTACCGAAGGAGGCTGGCGGTGTCCTGTGCGTATCAGACAAAGATAGATGGAGTGATCCATCATACACCTGTCTTCCTGTCTGACACACAGCTACACCTCACAAATCATATCTCTAGATCAGACCCCTCACCAATCTACTGCTCTCTCTCTCTCTCTCTCTCTCTCCTCTCTCTCTCCTCTCGTCATCTCTCTCTCTCTCTCTCATCTCTCTCTCATCTCTCTCTCTCTCTCTCTTTTCTCTCTCACCTCTCTCGTCTTCTCTCTCTCTCTCTCTCACTCTCTCTCTCTCGGTCTCTCCCCCCCTCCCCCTCTGACCTCCTCCCCCACACATCACCCCAGAGACAAATGAAAAATGATTTTTACACATTTCCATTTCCTTCTCCTTCTCCCACCCCTCTTTTATCCTCTATTCCCTGATCTATCTCTCTGTCTTCCCCTCATCTCTCTCTCTATCTGCCCCTCTCCTCTCATTATCTGCCCCTCCACTCTCTCTCTATCTGCCCCTCTATCCCCTCAGCTCTCTCTCTATCTAACCCTCTATCCCCTCATCTCTCTCCCCTCTATCTGCCCCTCTATCCCCTCATCTCTCTCCCCTCTATCTGCCCCTCTATCCCCTCATCTCTCTCTCTATCTGCTCCTCTATCCCCTCATCTATCCTCTATCCGCCACTCTATCCCCTCATCTCTCTCTCTCTATCTGCCCCTCTATCCCATCATCTCATCTCTCCTCTATATGCCCCTCTATCCCCTCATCTCTCTCTCTATCTGCTCCTCTATCCCCTCATCTCTCCTCTATCCGCCCCTCTATCCCCTCATCTCTCTCTCCTCTATCCGCCCCTCTATCCCCTCATCTCTCTCTCCTCTATCTGCCCCTCTATCCCCTCATCTTGCTATCTATCTGCCCCGCTATCCCCTCATCTTTATCTCGATCTGCTCCTCTATCCCCTCATCTCTCCTCTATCCGCCCCTCTATCCCCTCATCCTCTCTCCTCTATCTGCCCCTTCTATCCCCTCATCTTTCTCTCTATCTGCTACCTCTATCCCCTCATCTCTCCTCTATCCGCCCCTCTATCCCCTCATCTCTCCTCTATCCGCCCCTCTATCCCCTCATCTCTCTCTCCTCTATCTGGCCCTCTATCCCCTCATCTCTCTCTCCTCTATCTGCCCCTATATCCCCTCATCTCTCTCTCTATCTGCTCCTCTATCCCCTCATCTCTCCTTATCCGCCCCTCTATCCCCTCATCTCTCTCTCCTCTATCCGCCCCTCTATCCCCTCATCTCTCTCTCCTCTATCTGCCCCTCTATCCCCTCATCTTGCTATCTATCTGCCCCGCTATCCCCTCATCTTTCTCTCTATCTGCTCCTCTATCCCCTCATCTCTCCTCTATCCGCCCCTCTATCCCCTCATCTCTCTCTCCTCTATCTGCCCCTCTATCCCTCATCTTTCTCTCTATCTGCTCCTCTATCCCCTCATCTCTCCTCTATCCGCCCCTCTATCCCCTCATCTCTCCTCTATCCGCCCCTCTATCCCCTCATCTCTCTCTCTATCTGCTCCTCTATCCCCTCATCTCTCCTCTATCCGCCCCTCTATCCCCTCATCTCTCTCTCCTCTATCTGCCCCTCTATCCCCTCATCTCTCTCCTCTATCTGCCCCTCTATCCCCTCATCTTGCTATCTATCTGCCCCGCTATCCCCTCATCTTTCTCTCTATCTGCTCCTCTATCCCCTCATCTCTCCTCTATCCGCCCCTCTATCCCCTCATCTCTCTCTCCTCTATCTGCCCCTATATCCCCTCATCTTTCTCTCTATCTGCTCCTCTATCCCCTCATCTCTCCTCTATCCGCCCCTCTATCCCCTCATCTCTCCTCTATCCGCCCCTCTATCCCCTCATCTCTCTCTCCTCTATCTGGCCCTCTATCCCCTCATCTCTCTCTCCTCTATCTGGCCCTCTATCCCCTCATCTCTCTCTCTCCGTCCTCCTGTGGTTCTGAATAAAACATGGAGGCTGTGTTCTTAGCCAGAAGGACAGCCCATGGAGAGAGGAGTGCCATCAGACACAGAGCAGTGGGAAACTGAGCTCAGTTTGAGCCAGACAGGAACCATCATGGAGGCATGAAGACCCCAAGCTGACAGGTTAGGACGGCTATGTGCCTGTGTGTAAACTAGGGTTCTGCCTGGGGGTGTTTACTGCTGGGTTTATAGGGAGCTTGTTGGCTGTAGGGGATGTCAGTGACTCAGTTACTTTGTGATTAATTGACACACTTGTAAAATCATCAAAGGTACTTTCAGGACACACAGGACAGGTTTCTCCAGTACTCAGAGCTTAGCTTAAAGGTCCAATGCAGCCGTATCTATCTCAATATCATAGAAAATAAACAAAAATAGCTTCTTAGCAAAGAGACATTTCTCAAGCAAGAATATTGCTAGTACTGTATGGGAGTGGTCTGAGTGGAGAGGGGAAAACTGAAAACTAGCTGTATATATAGTGCGGAAATATATATAAAACACAGGAAAATCACGTTTTGTAACTGCACTGGGCCTTTAAGTTACAAATCTAAGCACTTTGAACACAACCCCCAAAAAATATAAGGTAGCTGTTCCTCATACCTGGTACGCCTGGAGGAGTCTTCAGAAACTTCCCATTGAAATGTTGAATCACAACACCACACTTCTCTGTTGACTCCATCCTGAGGGGGGTAAGGGGGGTGGGGGCAGAAAGAGAGAGAGAGAGAGAGAGAGAGAGAGAGAGAGAGAGAGAGAGAGAGAGAGAGAGAGAGAGAGAGAGAGAGAGAGAGAGAGAGAGAGAGAGAGAGAGAGAGAGAGAGAGAGTTGCAGTCAGGTCAAACACACTAACAGGGCTTTCCTGTGGGTTGCTTAAGGAAACAGAGGAGGAGGGAGAGAGGGAAGGAGGAAGGGAGGATGGAATGTGGATCGGTAGGTCAATGGGGACTGGATGTTGTTTCCTTTGTATTTTACATTTACATTTTTGTCATTTAGCAGACGCTCTTATCCTGAGCGACTTACAGTTAGTGAGTGCATAAATAAAAGAAAATCATACCCCCCGTGGGAATCGAACCCACAACCCTGGCGTTGCAAACACCATGCTCTACCAACTGAGCTACATCATGCTCTACCAACTGAGCCCATGGGTCTCCCGGTCGCGGCCGGCTACGACAGAGCCTGGATTTGAACCAGGATCTATAGTGGCACAGCTAGCACTGCAATGCAGTGCCTTAGACCACTGCGCCACTCGTCTTTGTCTATTGAAAGGCTCCATTCACTGCTCTGTGCTCTACTCTCTGCTCTACTCTCTGCTCTGTGCTCTACTCTCTGCTCTGTGCTCTACTCTATTCTCTGCTCTGCTCTCTGCTCTGTTCTCTACTCTCTGCTCTACTCTCTACTCTACTCTCTGCTCCACTCTCTGCTCTACTCTCTGCTCTCTGCGCTCTGCTCTGCTCTCTGCTCTGCTCTCTGCTCTCTGCCCATTTGCTCTACTCTCTGCTCTGCTCTCTGCTCTGCTCTCTAATCTACTCTCTGCTCTGCTCTCTGCTCTGCTCTCTGATCTGCTCTCTGCTCTGCTCTCTGCTCTGCTCTCTGCTCTACTCTCTGCTCTACTCTCTGCTCTACTCTCTGCTCTACTTTCTGCTCTGCTCTCTACTCTACTCTCTGCTCTTCTCTCTGCTCTACTCTCTGCTCTGCTCTCTGCTCTGCTCTCTGCTCTGCTCTCTGCTCCGCTCTCTGCTCTACTCTCTGCTCTACTCTCTGCTCTGCTCTCTTCTTTACTCTCTGCTCTACTCTCTGCTCTACTCTCTGCTCTCTGCTCTACTCTCTGCTCGGCTCTCTGCTCTGCTCTCTGCTCTACTCTCTGCTCTGCTCTCTGCTCTGCTCTCTGCTCTACTCTCTGCTGTACTCTCTGCTCTCAGCTCTCTGCTCTGCTCTCTGCTCTACTCTCTGCTCTATTCTCTGCTCTACTCTCTGCTCTGCTCTCTGCTCGGCACTCTGCTCTGCTCTTTGCTCTACTCTGCTCTCTGCTCTACTCTTGGCTCTCTGCTCTACTCTCTGCTCTGCTCTCTGCTCTACTCTCTGCTCTCTGCTCTGCTCTCTGCTCTACGACATAGCTCCTTTGTGAGGCCCCATTCATCTCTGTTCATCCAAGCATGTCTGAATGGTTAATTATCAGCTGAGCTTGGCACAGGGAAACAGAGGGTGATCCCAGAGAAGTCTTTCTCTAGTCTATTCATTTTCTTCAGCCACTGACACTGAATACAAGGCCAGACCAGGAAAAGACGCGCCTTAATAAAGAGGCTGGGCTGGGACTCTAATCGCTGGCACACTCCAGAGGCAGTGGTGTAAAAATACTTTGAAGTACTACTTAAGTAGCATTTTGGAGTATCTATACTTTACTTTGCTATTTATATTTTTGACAACTTTTACTTTACTCCACTACATTCCTAAAGACAATATGTACTTTTTACTTCCATACATTTTCCCTGACACCCAAAAGTCCAATTCACACACTTATCACTTATCAAGAGAACAACCCTGGTCATCCCTACTGTCTCTGATCTGGCGGACTCAATACACACAAATGCTTCATTTGTAAATGATGTCTGAGTGTTGGAGTGTGCCCCTGGCTATGAGTAAATAATATGAGGAATTTTTCATGATTTTACTTTTACATTTGATACTTAAGAATATTTTAGCAATTACGTTTACTTTTGATACTTAAGTATATTTAAAACTAAATACTTTTAGACTTTTACTCAAGTAGTATTTTACTGGGTGACTCACTTTTACTTGAGTCATTTTCTATTAAGGTATCTTTACTCAAGTATGACAATTGGTTACTTTTTCCACCACTGTCCAGAGGTAACTGAGAAGGCCTTTCCAGAGGGGTACACTCAGAGGGACTACGGTCACAGGAACAATGTGAGGAGACTCTATATTCACTCTGGGGCCTGATACAGAGTCGAGATGAGCACGCACAAATTACATTTTGACATAAATCTTCAATTGATGCCAATGCGATTTGTGGAAATTCAAGTTAAGCGTGCATATTTCTAGTCAGAATACCACCCAGTGTGTGAGTGTGTGTGTGTGTGTGTGTGTGTGTACATGTTTCAGCGTATACGTTTGTGTGTACCTGGCGAAGCCGACTCCTCTGCTGACCCCGTTGGCGTTCCTTAGCACCCGTGTTGAGATGACGTGACCGAACGGTTTCAGCATGTTCTCCAGTTCCTGCTCATCCATGGATACAGGTAGGTTGGAGATGTACAGGTTAGTGGGGTCCTGCTCCTGTTGCTGTGGGAGAGATAAGTATTGAGGTTCAGGAAACGGTATGTCACTGTTAAAGCAACCCGGTTGACACCTTTCACATCATGGACATGCACACTGCACGGTACACCCTGAGCTCTGTGTAGAATGGTTCATTAATCTTCACAGGCAGTGCAACCCCCCTCAGCTCAAACCTTAAACAGGAGAGAGAGCACCCTAAATAATGTATAGCCATTGTCCTGGCCATTGTCCTGTCTCATAGTCAAAGGAAACACAACTTACAAAGACTGGAAACTCTACAGAACTAAAGCCCATGGTGTGTATTGTGTCAAACTATAGTGAGAACAATGATGGTATGAAACTGAAGCCAGTCTTCAGAGGCGCTTGGTGTTTTTTAAATAGGATTTTAGGATTTGTTTCATGGCTACATGGATAATTTACATTTTCATTTAAGTCATTTAGCAGACGCTCTTATCCAGAGCGACTCACAAATTGGTGCATTCAACTTAGGATAGCCAGTGGGATAGCCAGTGGGACAACCACCACTGGGGGAAGGGGGGTGTAGAAGGATTACTGTTATTTACTACCTCAAATAAATGTTGGCGGCCACCCTGATGTGGTGATCGTATCAGTAGTATATATTCATGACGGATGTAAGTTACTCTAGTGGATAAACGTTCCCACTCTGTGTGTGAGACATACTGTATGATGTCATGGGGCAGAGACATTCTGTATGATGTCATGGTCCGCGTCCCAAACGCCACCTTATTCCCTGCGTAGTGCACTACCTTTTGACCAGACTACATGAGGCCATTTGGTACGTAGCCATGTAGTGGAAGGATGACTTGAAGCCAGCGGTGGAAAAGAACATGATCTTGTAAGTAATCTGAGAGACTTCTACTCAACATGGAAATCTACACAGAACACACTATGTCTAGAGGGATTGGAGAATTACCCCCCCGTCCCCCACAAACACCACTTCAGAGGACAAGAGTAACTGTTTGACAGCTTTTTTTTGTTACATACACATTTTACATTCATTCTACTTTTGTGTACAGCAGTGACAAAACTGATATAAAGGTTTAAATATATTGTAATGACCCAGCTGGGTCATAAAGTAAAAGAGAGACGGGCACCAGGTGTACAGGCAGAACACAGGTTTATTCCTGAATGGGCTATTGTTCAGGCCACAGCCCACGCCGCTAAACCTCGAACATACACAAATATAACATGTTAAATCAAGGGTCCCGAACAGAAGAACGAGAGATGAGACCGTAACCCCTATTTAAGCATTCCAAAACCCCGCGGGATTACCCATCATACCCCCCCAACCTTTCCATCTGTCCTGGCATATTTAACCCCTGCTAGCACCCTTGAGAACGATAACACACCCATGAACACAGAACACAATACAGGGTCGTTACATAGCCCCCCCCTTTCTAAACCCTAGCCCCTAGGGTTACAAAACAAAATCCTTAAAACGACCCGGAGGTCGCATCAGTCTCTTGTGCCTCCCCTTGACTCTCACTGGTGGACCCCCAGAACACTCATCTGCCCCAATGTCATTTCCAGCGCCCTCCGAAGAGGCAGCCCCCGTCCCAGGCTCAGCTTGCACTAGAGTCTCCTCGCTAGACTGTCCCCGTGTGCTCACATCAGAGTCCTCACTTCCATTCCCTACCGTTTTCCTCCCTCTGTAGGGCGCCAATCGGTCCCGGTGGACCACCACCTTCCTGCTCCGTGGGGGAACCTCCACCCGGTACGTCACCTCCCCCACTCTCTCTATCACCAGGCACCGCCCCACCCAGGCACTGTCCAGCTTTGGGCACCGCCCCTTCTTGCGCGTGGGGTTGTGAAGCCACACGCGTTCTCCCGCTCCAAAGAGTCATAGTGGCGCTTTTGGCGCATTCCTGCGTTCTCGAGTTGCTCTCTTGCGAAGGTGTGAGCCGCTTCTAAACGGTTCTGCAGACGACGAACATAGTTCGGGCCAGGCAAAACCCCGTCGTCGTTATCAGGAGGGTGGCCAAACGTCAGTTCGGCTGGGGTGCGCAACTCACGACCTAACATTAGTAACGCTGGGGAGCACGCAGTCGATTCTTGAACAGCCGACCTACATGCCATAAGAATAAACGGTAAGTGGGTGTCCCAATCTCTCTGGTGTTTTGAGGTAACGATAGCCAGCTGTTGTGCTAATGTTCTGTTAAATCTTTCCACCAGCCCATCACTCTGGGGGTGAAGCGGAGTAGTGCGCGTCTTCTCCGCGCCTAACCGTCTACACAACTCTGAGAACACCCGTGACTCAAAGTTTCTCCCCTGGTCGCTGTGTATAGACTGTGGCACCCCGAACCGACTGATTATTCCCCCTACCAATGCATCAGCTACTGTTTCTGCCTCCTGGTCTGGGAGAGCGTAAGCCTCTGGCCACTTGGTGAAGTAGTCCATAGCAGTTAGAATCCACCTGTTACCGCTGTCTGTGGTTGGAAACGGTCCAACTATGTCTACCCCCAGTCTCTCCATGGGCTCCCCTACTGGGAATTGTTGTAGGAGGGCGTGTGACTGACCTGGAGGTCCTTTCTTAGCAGCACACTCATCGCACTGCCTGCAAAAGTCCTCCACATCCCTCCTGTGCCTGGCCCAATAGAAGCCTTTACGTACGCGCTTTAACGTTTTGGAGACCCCAAAATGCCCTGCGCCTACTCCCCCGTGAAGCTGCTGTAACACGCTCCCTTGCAGCCTTTTGGGAACCACTACCTGCCACGTCATTTCTCCAGTAGCTGGCTTTTTCCACCCCCTCTGGAGCACTCCCTCAGCCACTCTAAGGACTGAGAATTTAGCCCAGAGTCCTTTGGTGACTGGTGATAGAGGGGCTACTTCCCCCCATGGCGGTCGTCTTCTCTCTTCCACCCACCCCAGCACAGGACGCAGCTCTGCGTCCTCCTCCTGGCGACGCCTCCACTCCCCGACGTCCACAGCCTCAAGCTCCCGGCACTCTGTCACCCTCAGCTGACTCACCTTGGCGGTGACTCCCTCCTCCATGCACAGTTCCCTCTCTCGCTCCACCCATTTGGCGCAGTACCCACAGCCGTCCTCAGCACACGGGCGGCGGGACAAGGCGTCTGCATTGCTGTGGCGAAGGCCGGCCCTGTGCTCCACCTGGAAGTCGTAGGGTTGCAGCTCCTCCAACCAGCGGGCGATCTGACCCTCTGGCTCCTTGAAGGAGAGAAGCCACTGCAGGGCGGAGTGATCCGTCCGCACCACAAACGGCAGGCCCCCCAGGTAGTACTTGAAATGGCGTACTGCTGCCACGACAGCCAAAAGCTCCCTCCTTGTCACGCAGTAGCGTTTTTCAGCCTTATCAAAAGTTCTGCTGTAATAAGCTACTACGTGCTCTCCGTCAGAACCACGCTGCGCCAGCACGGCCCCCAAGCCCTCATTGCTTGCGTCGGTGTCCAGGATAAACGGACGGTTTGGGTCTGGTGAGGACAGGACAGGGGCCTCCACCAGGGCACGTTTGAGGGCCTCAAACGCCCGCTGGTGCTCTTCGGTCCACTGAAAAACAGTGTCCTTCTTGAGAAGGTGGTTCAAAGGAGCTGCTATCCCCGCAAACCCTTTCACAAACCTACGATAGTAGGATGCCAGACCCAGGAAGCTCTTAACCTCTTTTTTCCCCTTGGAATTGGCCACCCCCTCACAGCCTCCACTTTGTCTGGCATCGTGCTGATACCCTCACCACCCAGCTGATGACCAGGAACGCCAACTCCCTTTGCATGAAATGGCACTTTTCCGGGTGTAATTTTAGCCCCCGCCCCCGAGATCCTCTCCAGCACTCGCCTAAGTGCCCCCAGTGCCCCCTCAAACGACGTGCCGTGTACCATATGTCGTCTAGGTACACGACACACTCGTCTCTCGGAACCCCCGCCAGCACTCTGTCCATGAGCCTCTCAAAGGTGGCAGGGAGCATTACAAAGCCCGAAGCACAGCACCTTGAACTGCCAATGGCCCCTATCCGTGGAGAAGGCCGTTTTTTCACGTGCCCCAGGCGAGAGGGGCACCTGCCAGTAGCCACTGCGCAGATCAAGGGAAGAGAACCACGAGGACCCTCTGACGTGGTCTAGCGACTCATCGATCCTCGGTATGGGGTAAGAGTCTTTAATGGTGACAGAATTTAGGCCCCTGTAGTCCGCACAAAACCTAAGTTTACCCCCTTTCTTAGGCACCATGACGACCGGCGCGGACCATGGGCTATCTGATGGCTCAATGAAATCAGCCCGCAACATGTCAGCAATAGCTGTGGCTGCTGCTTCCCTCTTGGCAAGGGGAATGCGACGGGGCCGAATTTTAATGGGTTGGTTGTCCCCAGTGTCAATGTCGTGCTGAACCAGGTGCGTTTTGCCCTACCTCATCTTCCCCCCAAGCGAAGCTATCTTTAAAGTCAAAACAGCAGCTGCTTTAACTGTCTCTGTTGTCTCTCGTCCAGACCTTGACAGTTTTTCAGCCACACAGCCTCAACGGCGTCGATAACTTCCTCCTTCCCCCCGTCGGGCTGATGGGGTGAAGGAGCCAGTGTGTTTTGGGCTACTGGGATGCCTGTGCTTGCACCATTATGGGGAGTGAAGGTCGTTGCCGCCGGAGACAGCTGCTGGGATGGCACAACGACCAAGGGAGCAGCCGGGATGACCAGTGGAGTTTCGGCAAGCTTGGAGGAAGACGGAGGGACAGCCCTGCCCCCTGCTGGCCCTCCCGAAGGCGACATTCCCACTGTGGGCCCCCCCGACTGCCTCAAAGTGCCCGAAGCTAAGTCCAACTGAGCCCCACAGTTTTTCAAAAAGTCCATTCCCAGTATACAGGGGTCCTGTACCGCTGCTACCCACACCGGACACCCCCACAGTTCTCCCCCCCCACAGTCACAGACAACCGACACTTCCCTAACATGGGGGCTAGCTCCCCCGTGACAGTCCGTAGCTGGACAAGGGTCGGCTCCACCCGCACCCCAACAGGTAGTATGTCTGGTCTCACCAGGGTTACTGTAGAGCCCGTGTCGACCAGGGCCAAACATTCCACCCCCTCTACCTTGACGATGACATTGCAGAAGTCCCCAATGGTGGTACGTCCCACCACAACTACCGGACTAGGAAACACGGTGGCAGCTACACCCTGGGGAAGCAGGTCCCCACCCTCTTGCCTGCGCTGCTGGGT